CTCCCTAATCAATCGGCTGTGACTATTACAGAGGCATTCCTCAATGGTTATGTTATGGACAAAGGTGCTCCTGAACGCCTTTTGACTGATCAGGGCAATAATTTGTCTTCTAAATTGTTGCATGAGGTCTGCACTTTGTTGGGTACAAAGAAGGTGCGCACGTCGCCGTACCACCCGCAGACGAATGGCATGGTCGAACGGCTACTTAGGACTCTGACTTCCATGTTGAGCCACCAGGTCAACGAGTCACAACTCGATTGGGATTTACATGTCCCTGTGGTCCTCGCCGCTTACAGGATGGCCCCGCACGCGTCCACTGGCTACTCACTGTTTTTTTTAGTGTATGGAAGGGAATACGACCCCCCCCATCGATGTACAGTTACAGGCCACACCGACAAAGTATACATCCAGGATTTCTGACTTCGTTTGTTTCACTCTTCAGAAGCTTTCCAAGGCACGGGAAGCCTCTAGGGTTAATTCTGAGTCGCGACAATTGGCCAACAAACGGCTTAGAGGTGTGCGTAATTCCCTGCATGAATGGACGCCTGGGGCCAAGGCCTGGTTACACTGCCTGCAGGTGATGGTGGGTACATCGCCTAAATTACTACAACCCTGGAGGGGGCCGGTCGATGTCGTTCGGGTTGTTCGACCACAGTTTATCCAGGTCAGCTTGGGTCGGCGGAGTTGGTTCGTGCATCCCTCTCGCCTGAAACCGTTTATCACGCCGCGCGAATTCGTTTCATCTCCACATCGCAGGGCCAGAGCGTCGAATGTGTCCGAGCCGGGGTGTGTGTGCCCGCTGAGGTTGGTCCTCAGCGGAGCGATTCTGTCCCGCCCCCAGGTGCCGCACGACTGACATTTCCTGCACGGCCGCACATGCTGGCCTTGTAGGTCCCAAGCGCGGAGGATCCGTCGACCCGGCCGACTGCTTTCCGTGAGGAGCCGGGTTCGGCGGAACATTCACACATTCCCCCCAGGTCCTCCAGGGTGAGCGAGCCCACCTCCCCTGGGGGCCCGGCATCACGGACTCGCTCAAAGACTCGGTTTTCATGATCCTCTTGCTCACACGCTCCCACGCTGTCGGTTGCTTGTCGCGCTCGCTGAGTCGTGGCGGTCATTGGCTGGACCTGGCCGCCATTGAGCTCGTGAGCGTTGTTACACGGTGAAGGTGGGAGGTGTGATGGTATGGGGGATCCCATGGTTTTCGCGATTTTTATTTTATTGTTGCTGTGTTGTTATGAGTTCATTGGTTCATGCCCTTCTCCCTAGTTGGTTTGTACATTTGTGGATAGTGTAATTTTTGTACAGGTGGGTTGGGATATTTATTTTTGTTCTTGTTATTGTTGAGGCACACTGTTTTTCTATTCTCGTTACACTTCACTTAATTGTTCGTTATAGGGGGTGTTGACAGCCAGAACGGCTGGATTCTATGAAGGTGGGGGGGGGGGGTGATGTGACATCAAGGATGTCACTGTATGGTACTGGCCCAGAAGGGCCGTGCCGTTTCATGTTCCTACATTGTGGACAGCACCGTATGGGTGGCTGTGTGTAATACCAGCCCTAGCGGGGCTTGGTGAGCACTGGGATAGCGCGGGCACCACGCACAGCGTGTGGTGGGGGCTCCCACTAGGGGAAGTGGGTGAGTGTCAGCTCAGGGGCAGGGTTGCCCCGGGCCATGGCACTCTGGTTGACCCCGTAGACACGTGATCCGGATTGTCCACACAGGGGGCCCCAGGTGGGGGGGGGGGTTAGTGGGTGATCACGTGTCCGGGGAGAGCTCTTGAGAGGGATTGAGAGGGAATGAGAATGCTCGAGAAGGCGGGCGGGGCCAAGGGCGGAGCGGCCCCGACCGTAGGGGGATATAAGGCAGGTCCCTGACAGGGACCGGTGTCTCTTCGTTCTACAAACTGGAAGCTCTGCGTCTCAAGCTGGAAGCTCTTCGTCCTACGAGGAACCACGTGGCCGGAGACCTGAGTGAGGGTCCAACCCCTCGTAACAGTAACTCCTCTGTATAGAGTAGTTAGCTGGGTGGTCACCACCCTAGGTTGTATCTGGTAAAGGGGCAGTTACCCCTTTGTGTTACGGTGTTGCAAATAAATGTGTTGCCTCTGAAAGGAACAACGTCTGCGACTCAGTTGGACTCACTACACTTGTGAGGCTGCCAAAACTACTGGCAACTCGAGGGAGCCAGTTCCAGCCATCTGATAACTCGCACCAGTAGGCCCTGACCACCGTCAGTGCGTGCTTGTACTTGGATCCAATTATTGGGTTAATTGGTTACAACCCATTACCACATCCTATATTGCCAAAGCTTCTTGGTCGCCCAACATAAATCTGTTCGACGCTGGCAAGTGTTCAGTGCTACCGGTGACATATGTTATCTGTGTGCATGCTGGCCTATGTTGCTATGTTCAGAGCAATGTTGTTGTGGCTGTAGAGGGGGCCACACTTTATAGAAGCTTTGCATTCTAATCAGGGATTGTCGTTTTATATTATATCCAAATTGCCACATGGAGCAAAATAATGCGTACCAACTCCAAGAAATCATAATCGCCAATCAACGTCCAATGCATTCAGTGACGAGTACCAATATACCCTGCACTCTATTGTTCTGCTGGTTTTTGGTAGAAAGTTACCCCATTTGATCCATACATTATTAGGGTAGGTGGAATACGTCGATGCCATACCCTCTCCCACAGGACAGATAAAGTGATTGAATATGGGATAAAGAAAACCTCTTCCACAGCAGAGATAAGTAAGGCGAATGAGCCCCGTGTGCATGACCGCATTGCCCGAACACAGTTGAAGTTTCCCTGCCTTGTTTAACCCATCATGAGTGGAGAATTGCCCACACTCTATTATGCGTGCACGGAGTGTGACGTAGCACGTGTCATAACTGGAAACATGGATACGCTATGTGGAAGGGTTTTACCTTGAATTTTGTCTGAAACATTTTTGTGAAGAACACTTTTATGAACCTGTGGGACCTTTAAATTAACTGGTGCATATGAATACAGTGATTTTAGAATAAATTATTGCCAATGAGTGCTATTTTGTTAACCTCGTTTTGTAAAAAATAGTTATTCAGCAAGTACTGCATTATGTATATTACTCGCGAGAAGGCAGCTGTGATGTAACCCAAATAGTTGATAGAAATTTATCATTAAACATTTAAAATTTCAATGCTAGGAGCAGTCGTCAGTTTTGCTGTTATCTTTGAAGCTGGTTAACTTCATGCAGTAATTTTTTGCTCAGTCCAAGTTCAGCCAACACATTGAGATGACATTTCTCAACAGTCACTTATTTCTGTAAGAGTTGAAACTGATGCACGCAGGCAGCACGAATTTCACAAGCTTGTATGTAATAATGACACTATGCATAAACATGTAACTTTCCAACCGTCAATAGGAATAATTTTTATACCATTGCTCACCACAGAGCATTCAACCTAAATTAGAAAGCTTGAGTTGGGGTAGCTGTTGCTCACTTGCCACAATATTGCATGCACCGAGTCTTGTGTCTAGACTGTGGCTCCCATTGTAAGAATGTGGAATTTCCACCGACTCAATTAACCTCTTTCACACAACGTGAGCAATGCTCAGACGAGCCAGGGGAAGCGCTTTGGCTTGACTAAAAAGATAACCTCAGCATTACTGCCGAAGCTTGTAAAATTAAACTTTCCTGCATGTAACTTTGTTGGAATACAAAAAAAGCATCCCATTTTAAATACTACAACTTTGTTGATACTATTCTACAGCACAATAACATATTGAGTTATTTAAAGCAATCGCCTCATGAAACACTATCAGTTAGGAAGGCCCGAGGTCACAGACTCCACTTCCTCTTGCTTGGACAGCCTAGCCCAACGGGTGTACGTGAACCCAGCAGGGATTTGGACAAAGCCGTGCATCCATATTAGCCAATGAGAAATAATGCGATATTTGATAAGTTAATTATGTTTTAAGTGTATAAATGCAGTACATGTCCAGTAACTAAATTGTTACCTTTAATTTTTCCAGCTTTTTAACACCTCCATGCTGTCACTAACAATTAAACCTTGTAGTCTTTGTCTCATCGAGCCAATAAAATATCATCGGTGATGTTGCTTATGCTCGACCCACATGCAGGGTTCGTTTGCCAGTGTGGCAGAACGAGATACATGGAGGGGACAAAAACTATTGTTATAAGAAACAATGAAAACATATACAGTTGTACTCTTTAACTTCTGCTTAAGAATTATTGTGTTCACTTTTCTGTAGCTATATGACGTTTCTGGCCGAGATGCAGCCATGCAACTCAACTCCACAATCTTCAAACTGTCTAATTCGCTGGTCTAGTATGTTCCTACCTTCCCCGCTGGTTGTACATGGTAGATAGCCCCTTGACCTCCACTCAATGTGCAGGAGCTTATCACATCACTCCCATTCCTACTTAACCCTTCTACACACAAAAGTACTTACACCCTCTCTCCGCTATTCTCCGATATCGCGGTGTAATGACTTCATGAGGTCATTGATACAAATTTACGAAAGAAGCAAAATAGGTAATATGCCAATATCTATATATACAAAAATATAAATCATTAACCTTCCAAAGTTAATATTTTAGGTCCACCAACAATGGCTTTGGAAACCATCAATTAGCTCCTGGTTTGTGTGTGTATGTATGGTGTATATTGTATAACCCCCAATGGCAATTCATCAAGATATCAGTTGCAGCACTTTACATTGATTGCCGTTAATAATTAATGATCAGTTTCACATCACCCTTGCAGTATGGTCACCATTGTCATTGCCACCGTTTTGTTGGTACTCTAAGGTGGCGTTTTACCCAGTGAGTCCAGGATACTTTGCGGTGTTTGTAACACAAGTACAACTGAATGGAAAAAATCCATCTCCGGTGGAGGAGACTCGTATGTGCAACTCATTACTAAAAAAAGACGAGCACCTCCTCTTGCTTGTCTGCGACAAGCCACTGACTTTTTGTTTTTTTTTCGTCAGTGAGCGACACCTGTTCCCGGCAGGCGGCGGAGGATGCCAGCGGGAGGAATCTGCAGGACCTGGTCCAGTCTGTGTAAGTAGAGCAAGCTTCTGAGTCTACCTTGCACCTGGTCCACTGCTCTACATTATGGTAGGGGTGGGAACTTTTTCGCTACCAGGACTTAAAAAATACCTTTGGCGATGCAAACATTAACCCATGCTTTTCAATTTAAAGCTTTCGTGACTGCAAGGATTCATCTTCTTTGGTTCTTTCGGTAAAGTCACGTAGAATGAGAATAAAATAATAAATTGATAAAATAAAATAACACAATAAAATTCTCACGACGTTTCGGCCACAACACAAGCGGCCTTCATCAGGTGAAGGAACGAGACTGTCTGGAGGACAGCGCTGGAGCGAACAGCTAAGCTCAGACCGCGACCTTTAAGCTGTGTGAGAAGAAACAGAGCGCCTTGTCGCGGTCTGAGCTTAGCTGTGTTCGCTCCAGCGCTGTCCTCCAGACAGTCTCGTCCCTTTACCTGATGAAGGCCGCTTGTGTTGTGGCCGAAACGTCGCGAGAATTTTATTGTTATTTTATTTGATCAATTTATTATTTTATTCTCATTCTACGTGACTTTACCGAAAGAACCAAAGAAGATTAACCCATACCTTAATATTATCCAATATGAGCACTAAAAATCATGAGGGCTCACCTTTACCGGTGACGGAGCTTGCTAAAATTATAAACAGATTGTTGCCGTATACAACATTCCCCACTCTAGTGTGGCCAGGATGCTAGCAGCAATGGGGAATCAATTTGCAGGCAATCAGAAAGTGGTAGACCGCATGTCGCTGCATACCGCACAAAGCGACGTGGGCCACATTTTCCCTGTGCGTATGCTGCAGGTAGAAAGGCAGCCTACAAAAACATTGTTTCTCTCTTTGGTATTTATTGTATTTGTAATATCCAAATGACCATATGCAGCTTTGATATATCGTTTGGTTTACCGGTTCATATACGGAGATTAATTTTGCTACCAAAATAAGTGTTGCCTACATTAATTTTTGTTTTACTTTAAGCTACATTTCTAAATGTTGTTTTTTTTTACCCCTTCCTGTAGGCTGGCAGGGACTGTATCGGCGTACAAAATAGTCCCCGATGAATTTGAGCAAATTAAGGTAACTTGATAAAAACGTCCTTATTAGCCGTGTTTGTATGCTTGGTACAGCATCTCATAACATGTTCCAGTTCACCGTTGGCTATGCCATGATGTTAAATATCACCAATACGGGTGCTTTTAAGTAATTTACTTATTGATCGATCTTCTCTTGGAGAACCGTTGAGGCTTTTCATAATACAAATCCAAGACGTGTAAATTATTGAGACTTTGATGTGATATTCAACAAGGCATCCAACTATTTTTATTAAATCCTTTGTAGTGTTGTAAATAACATTCCAGCTGTTTGCATCGTAATGTTTTTGCTGGACAGTTTTTAAAATGTATTTAATTGAAATATATCCAATTTTAGTGTAATGCTACTGTTCATATTCTATACTTGCTGTATTAATGTTTTTTTATCATTTTAAATTAAACACATTAATTGTATTTGTACAAACCCAAAAGACTCATGATACAGGTACAGCATTTACCTGAAGGTGGAAAAGCGTTTGGAATAATCTAATGAGCAGCAATAATTAAGATAATTACCACGGATTCCCTACCAAGGCCTCTGCTGCAAGCTACTGTATGGGTGTTGCTGTCAGCACCATGTACCACTCCTCACACGTAATGCTGCTGTACGGCCATGCGAAGAGGTTCATCCCCATGTGTTGTGTGTGGCGCACGTGCGTCTCTCCTTACCTGTGCACAGGGTGCTCTGGTGGAGTGGTGCGACCGCGAGGAACTTAACCTCATCCTCACCACGGGTGGCACAGGTTTTTCCCCACGCGACGTCACGCCAGAGGTGGTGATTCTGGGCGTGCTTTGCCATGCAACGTCGTCCTTCCTTCTTGCGAAATTGAGATGCCCATGTGTTCCAGTCAATTTGCACAACGTTTATACGAATTTATTGAAGCACGGGCCTTGTGATTAGTTAACATGACACATTGTGGTTGTTTAAATTATCAATTGGCTTTTTTATATTATACAGAACAGTGTTGCAGTATTTATGATCGTGGTAATACAAAGGTGTGTCACCCACCTGCTCAGCAGTCTCAACAGCCAGTCAGGAGTAAAGCACATTTAATACCAGTTATTTATTAACTTGAAAGCAGAGGCCATTTTAACTGGCGAACACAGGCTCCTCCCACCCCTACCAATTGTTTAACACTCACTGGAGGGTGGAGACCATATGCAGCTGTATTCAAGCTGGTAAGCCCATTATGTCATTGTTTTGGTGGCAATGGGACGAGGTTCCTCCCTTTCCCCACAACCTGGTGTTAATAGGAGTCATCAAATGTACCTAAGTGATTCTCTCATCATATTTCCAGGGCCATTATGACAGGAGGTGCTGAACAGTTCACTGCGAGAGTTACAAATGGATTTGTTTGTCTCACAACACGATGCCTGCATAAAATTTAGAAGGTGATATGCAAATGTTATTAGGAAGGGCCGTTACATGAGGAATTTGTAAGCATTCTAGGAACCACCAAAACTGCTTTGTCACTAATTAATGTTTGCACTCTACATGTTTTTGGGGAATTTAAGTTGCTCAAGAAATAATTGCGGTTGTTTTGATGAGAAATTTATTTTCTGCAGGGGGGAAATGAAGAGCTTTGCATATCCTTGATGCTTTTGAGCATAGTTTAATCTTGGGGCTAAATATTGTTTGGCTAATACACGGCCAACTATAAAGTAAGATAATTTTATTGTTTTATATATTTTTTATTTTATTGTTTCACTTCTATGTGACTTTACTGAAAGAACCAAGAATATAACTATAAAGTAGTTTAACATGTAGGCTTTCACGACCAATATTATCCATAATAGAGGTTTTTGAGTTAGATTCTGTCTGACGCGTGATGAGGCTGGTTGTAATTACCGGCGAAACGTCGAACTTGAATTGTAGATGTTGCCGGTTTACTCTCCAACATACCGATGTGCTGAACTAGTAACTAATTGGCATGTTTTGTTTGGCATGTTTTGTTTGTGGCGACAGGTTTTACGACATTTATATTTACGTGATCTAACCCAAAAACCTCGCATGCAAGAAATAAATGTCACTTTTTGTCTGTCTGTGTGTGTACACACCCTTGTAACGCTTTTAACTGACAAACTGTGGGGTAAGTACCCAGATAACACGTGATATGCCCCGGGACGAAAAAACACTTCGTATTTCCCATCCGTCAACTTTAAAGTAGTTAAATTAACATTTTATTCCTTTTATAAGCAGTTCCTTTTATAAGCAGAGGGCAGCGCCAAAGCACACATCAGCGCTTGCGCGAGAACGCTGACTCGGCGGGGGGGGGGAAATTCTCATTCACGTAAAAAATGCAACAAAAAAACACAACGCTGAGGTAAATTCTTCAAAGAGTGCTGTCCTCTTCTCCCCCACCCCAATGTGTGCAGTTACTACTATAGAGTCGGTAGATACTACTATAGTCCGTAGTACTACTACTGTAGAGCGGGCGGGGGGATGGTAGGTAGCAGCCCAGCCCCAGCCGGCCAAGGCGCCACCTCGGCCGGCTGGGCAATCTAGGCGAGGCCGGGGGCTCTGCGCGGGACTAGGCCTCACCACAGCACTCTGTTAAGTTTGTAGTTACTATTATAGAGTCGATATATACTATTATAGAGTCAGTACATACTACTGTATAGTAGGTAGATACTACTGTAGAGGTAGTATATACTGCTATAGAGTCGGTACATACTACTATAGAGTTAGCAGATACTACTATAGTCAGAATATACTACTGTACCGTTAGTAGATACCACTATAGTAAGTTTATACTACTGTAGTGATAGTAGATACTATAGTCAGTATATACTGCTATCAAGTCGGTAGATACTGACATAGACTTAGTAGATACTACTATAGTCAGTATATACTATTGTAGTGATAGTAGATACTACGATATAGTCAGTATATACCACTGTGGTGATAGTGGATACTAGTCGCTATATACTGCTGTAGTTATAGTAGAAACTGCTATCGAGTCGGTAGTTACTACTATAGTCAATGGATACTACTATAGTCAGTAGTTACTACTGTTAAGTCGTTAGATACTGCTAAAGAGTCGATATATACAATTATAGTCGGTAGATACTACTGCAGTCAGTAGAAACTACTGTAGAGTCACTAGATACTACTATAGAGTCGATAGATACGATTATAGAGTCGGTAGATACTACTGTAAAGTCAGTAGTTACTACTATAGTTTGTAATACTATTATAGTCAGTAGATTATACTACAGTCAGTAGATACCACTATAGTCAGTATATACTGCTGCAAAGTCGGTAGATACGACTATAGAATCAGTAGATACTACTATGGAGTTAGTAGTGACTACTATAGTCAGTAGATACTACTATAGCATCACTAGATACTACTAGAGATTCCGTAGGTACTACTATAATCATTATATACTACTGTAGAGTTAGTAGTTACTACTGTAGAGTATATAATACTACAGTCAGTAGATACCACTATAGTCAGTATATACTGCTGCAGAGTCGGTAGATACGACTATAGAGGCAGTAGATACTGCTATAGTCAGTAGATACTGCTATAGTCAGCAGATACTGCTATAGAGTCTGCAAATACTACTATAGAGTCAGCAGATACTACTTTGGAGTTAGTAGTTACTTCTATAGTCAGATACTACTATAGCGTCAATAGATACTAGAGATTCAGTAGGTACTACTATAGTCATTAGATACTACTGCAGAGTCAGTAGTTAATACTGTAGAATAAATAATACTACAGTCAGTAGATTCCACTACAGTCAGTATATACTGCTGCAGAGTCCGTAGATATGACTATAGAGTCAGCAGATACTACTTTAGTCAATCGATATTACTATAGAGTAAATAGATACTACTGTAGAGCCAGATACTGTTCTAGAGTCACTAGATACTACTCACTCTATTGTATGTAGGATGTGTAGGTATATTATGCCTACGCAGGGGTGAACATATCTTTTTTAGGGGGTTTGGCAATTTTTGGAAACCTTTATAATCAACTATTTACCCCCCACTTTCTATAACTTTTTGGACTACTGCAAGTCTCTTATAATTATGTTGATGGACAAATGGACACAAACGGTACGCCGGGCTTTCACAATAGCTTAGTATTTGTGTATGTATATGTTATGTTTTTAAGATAAGTTTTGAAATATATTTTTCCCCCGGGCAACACCGGGTACTTCCCGCTAGTAGTTAATAAAACTTGGTAGCCCAGAATGTTAACAGGTAAAATTCCATGTGGCGCGCAATAGCTAGTATAGGGACCAGGAATGTTCATTAAACAGTGCTTACATTTATAATAATTTGTTTATTGCTTTTAAGTTGTTAAAATGTTGCCATTATTAAATGCATATTCAAAGTGTTTTAAAAGGGAGTTTATGGGGAGTTGTCAAGAAGGATTACCTGAGAATCATTTCTTACAAACAAAAACAAATTACATCCCTTTGCAGTGGTTAGCATGGTGCTACTATGAACCTGACAACCCAAGTTAGATTCCTTCAACCTACACAGGCCAGCGTGGTGATGCATGGTCGAACTGCCAAGACGGAGACAGTGTGGGGAGGCCTTTATTGAGTAATAAATTGACAAAGGGCTGTAATTTCAAACACAATAAAGCATCTAAAGAAGCCATTGTAAAAAGGGGACAGTAACAATTTTGCAAGTGCAATTAATAATGGATAGGTATACTTAAAAAAATATTTATTTACAAAACAAGCAGAGATGGTGTTAGGGTTTAAATAACTAAACCCATTTTACTTTTTCACAACCTGTAAATTTTTGTTGTAGTCCCTTCTGTGCCCAAAGTGTATCCATTTATACTCAAAATACTGCTGGATACTAACGCATGTTGTAATTCATAGGCCTCAGACTTAGCGGAATCCTTCGGCTCTCCTATAACTGCTCGAGATATCTCTTTAACACCTACGCATCGCAGCTGTTCCGACCACATAAGTATAAGGATACCACAGGGAAACCCCCCACATCTTTATGAATGTCTTAGAGATTCCTTTTCATGCTGCGATTGGTTGTCACATTCTGTTATATATTGCACCTAGTTTGGGCAATTTCCGTGATTTGCATGCTGCTATGGTAAGAGCCCGCAAATGAAAGCTCGCAAGTTCAAATCCTTGACATGTGTTGACTCGGCCCATCATTTCTTTGGGATGGTGTGCCTCATCACCATTAATTGACCTTCGGAGAGACTGGCTCCTTCCATAAAAAAGTAAAGTTTTACACCTTTTGTCAATGAGAAAAACACATCATGTCAGTTTATTGTGGAACACATCTGGTCAGAGCTGAGATTTCTGATTAGCTTATCCCATCCCTGAAAGAAAAAAAATCTTTGATTGTCAGAAGAAATGGCCATCAGATAATAGGACGATTTGTGGGGTTTTGAACTTTAAAATGTTTTGAACAGGTTTAGATTCCACAGGAGCGCTTTGGTTATAATGTTCAACAAATCCGAAGGCTGAAAGTTAATGTGCAGGTAGAAGATCGACTCAGCCCAGTCTTTGTGGTGTCAAGAAAATGAGCAATGCAATGTCAAATCAGTGAAAGTTCTGTGGAGTGACGAATACCAACCACAGGAATGTTGAGTTTAAACCATGTGCTCAGGGCGGCGCATGGAAATAAGCATTGCTCCCGTGCGTGTCTGATCATGGGAGACAATTTCATGGTTACTCAAAAGGGGCGATTGTTCAGAATGTCACATGAAGACACATTCGGCAGATAGAATTGTTGTGGCCAGAGAATAAAGGTTGTCGATTTGTCTTTACTGCGTTCAAGGCCACACGGGATGTGATTGAGCGCGAGGCTCCAGGCATGGCTGTGGCGATGCTAATGGGTTCCCTCAGCATAACGCCCTTGGCTATGCTCTCAAGGTACGTATATTGTAAAATGTTTTGTTGCACGGATGGCCCAGTGCTTATGTTAAAGCCAAGTCACATTTCTAATTCATTAAAAAGACATGAGCCAACTTAGGGCAGAAGACAAGGGTGTGACTCTACGCGACGTTCTCTATGTAGTCGGCTGACTACATAGGAGCGGACGCATAGCAGTCACGGAGACAATATGTAACTCTAGCCTTCCAAGACTACAAGGTGCCCGATCCAATATGATGAAGACGACCCGCTCCAAGACGACGACGGTGATGACGGTTTCTTGATTCCCCCACAGCAGCCCAGAGCCCTGCTCCACGCCGGCTTTTATCCCACTCCTGGACCTGGCCACGCCCCTTTTCCCGAAGTCTCTCGAACTTCACCTGGTCCTGGCTGTCACTGTCTCAATTATTATTTACGACCAATTAGGTCCCGTGCTATCCTTATGTAACCCTGTCTGTTCCCGTCGCGTCAATTACTAACCACGGCCACCAGGCCCCGTACTATCCTTACGCACGTAATGAAATCATTTAAAACTACAGGCTACGTCGGAAAGAGTCCTCACATCTTTGAAGACCAACGAGCGGTGCTCACCAACCCACCAGCAAAGCAGACAGGGAATCACCAGCTGCAACAAAGTTACGTGGCTATTTTGTAGGTTATCCTTATATAGGCCTCACTGGGTATAGCCCACCACATTTATTCGATCAGTGGCTGCTTTCACTTCTCTTTAATCAAACAATGGGAAGCTCACGCACAGACTTGGTCATGCACTTCGATTAGCGAGAGTGTACAAACCTGTCCAAACCGTTTCAGGCCCCTGTGCTCAACCCTTTGACAAGTTTAATTAGACCACCTGAGCACTCGTCAAACCACGTTGTGATAGGTGCAAAGATTTTTACTCCGACTTGTGCTTTATTGCGTTGAATATAATGCTGTACATTACTGGTGGTTGTAGCCACAACATAACAAAAGCAAAGTGTAATTGTGATTTTGTTTCTGCGTCGTTGGTGTGGGTGTACGAGTGGTGCCAACTTCTCATGTCATCCCTCTGTAGGCCGGTGTGTGGGATCCGAGGAAAGACTTTGATTATCAATCTCCCTGGCAGCAAGAAGGCATCCCAGGTGGGCATATGTGTCTGCCATACGTGTCACTAGTGGTTTCCATAATACGTTGATTAAAGAAATATATTTAATGTACAGAGTATTCACTAGCAGCATGTGGCAGCAGTTTTATATAATTAGAGGTAATGCATTGGATGGGAAGATTACCTAAGTGTGAACACTTGCAGAATCCCCAAATAGAAGTTATAAAAGGTTTCAGTTTGGTGTTTTAACATCTTAACACCTATTTTGCTGCCAGAAAAAAACGGGAAAACCTATTCTCAGGAGTTATAATGTTACACTGGGAAAAGCAAACCATGGCTCAATATACTGAATTGTATTGCAGTGTTACGGAGCTGATATGCGATGCTATAAAAGGTGCAACTTTGCATTATCTCTAACTTCTCTTTTGCCAATGGCGATTTGTCCAAAGTCTAATCGAAGTCAACGCAGGTCAAATATTTATAATTAAATATATTTTAACTTGTTCAGATACACATCTAAACTTTGTATGTGCCTCAAGGAGGAGACTTTAAGCAGTTGCAGCTCAAACTGAGTTTTAGAGAAGTATTCTCAATGTCTCTAAGCAACTCCCCTTCAGGATTATTTGCTGCTATACATTATGAAGACCTGAAAGATAATTTTCTATTTTTTTTCTTCAGATTTTAGACTGAAATAGCATATTTAATTGTACTCAATTTTTAATGACCTTCATTGTTTTTGCACTAAATTAAACACAACTGTAAATGAGTACTTTTATTGAATTGTTTACAAAATGTTCCATGAGTAAAATAATCATTTTAAACTTTTTTTTTATTATTATTATTAAAAGATTTGAGTACAAGGTCAATCACAGAAGTGACCACTTCTTGTGAAGTCATATTTTACGGGCAATCTGGGGAAAAAATACTCCTGAACGTCCAAAATGTTTCATCTAGGTTTGATTTTTGGAGTGAGTTATTGGTAAAGGCATGAACAGATTTAGGTATTAGTCTGTGTATGTTAGATTCGGTTACACACTAAATCCCCATGAAGAATCAGTTCTGGTGAAATGAATGGAGTCAACAGATCACCTAATAAACTGTCAACAGAATCGATAGAGGAAAATGACGTGGCGAAGAAGAGGGAGCCATAACTGATGTGGAGGGATCATAACTGAACTCGTATCCTTAGGAGTTTAACAGAATGTAAGGTTTGTGGGTTAAAATATTGAGCAAGTGAGATTTTGAATACATAAAAAACACCCCCACCCCTGGATAGGCAACCGAGCTGAAGTAAGTGAAACCCACTCAGTGCTATGTCATGTGTCAACAGACATAGCACAAGCTGACGCAACTTGAGGTGCAACAGTTGTAAAGTTCTTAACAGGGATTCTACCACAAGTGTATTTACAAGCTTGGGTCACTTTGATAGATATATGAATAATGCTGCGGATGAGATGAAGTGAGAACCATTATCCAATAAATAATGCTTTGTCAGGGATGTCTGCTGTCAACAGCCATAACTGATGTGGAGGGATCATACCTGAACCTGTATCCTTAGGAGTTTAGCAGAATGTAAGGTTTGTGGGTTAAAATATTGAGCAAGTGAGATTTTGAATACATAAAAAACACCCCCACCCCTGGATAGGCAACCGAGCTGAAGTAAGTGAAACCCACTCAGTGCTATGTCATGTGTCAACAGACATAGCACAAGCTGACGCAACTTGAGGTGCAACAGTTGTAAAGTTCTTAACAGGGATTCTACCACAAGTGTATTTACAAGCTTGGGTCACTTTGATAGATATATGAATAATGCTGCGGATGAGATGAAGTGAGAACCATTATCCAATAAATAATGCTTTGTCAGGGATGTCTGCTGTCAACATGTTGTGAAAATAGAGACCGATCCTTCTTCCAGTACACACCTCGTACATGCATTGGGTTCCTTTGTCCCATTAGGAGTAATTTGCAGATTTTCGTGCCAAAAAATATTGATTGCAGTTTAAGGTTTTTTTTCCTGGCATAAGTTCCATGCTGAAAAGTAGAGAAACAATAGTATATAATCTATATTTGTTTTGAACATCCCATTTCATTCCCTTCATAGTTTGGGCAAAGTGGGGTGTTTTTTTTACCACCACTATTAACTATTAACATTCTTTAATTTGGTGCGACTATATTTAAGCACAAGTAAAAGAATTCTGCAATCAAAACGTGTGAGTAGTAGACGACTCGCACGCTCGTGCTGTCATGACAAACCTGCAGTAATACATCGGTCAGTCGTACCACAAGCTTGTGTTCTTTCCATAGCATGTTCCTCATGCAATGGAAATTAAAACAAAAACACACTTTTCTATAGTGTGGAAACTTTCTGACGAAAGGGCATTAAAATGTATGTTTTTAATTTGTCTGGCATCAGTTTCATCACATCTAATTATGCCATGCACTTTAAAATGCATTGAGGGGTAAAAATGTATCTGGATTTCATTTCCAGAATTTTATAACATGTCCAGGTGCAAAATATAGGCAAGGCTTTAGCCCTTACCGTACAATCCAAAACTCTTTTCCACTAAATTGTGCACACCTGGTTGGTTTTGAATCCATATCCATTAGCTGTTTGCCAGTGGCTTAAAAATTAATGATTTCCATGAGAGGGCGTTATATCTGTCGCATTGCAGCTGCAAAACAAATCACACCCACCCACAAATACCCTGATTTGATCACTTCCCCTGTTGCTATTACTTCATTATTACTTTGTTTATTCTCTCTTAACTGACATTCCATCATCAGTGTTAACCATAGCTTGTCATCTCTTTTGTTAGTGTGTTGTTCCTGTTCCATTTGTTTTTTTATGTGGGTTGGATATGCAAATATAACTTCTACACTTGGTGAGATATTTCCAAATTTGTCAAATACCATACCGTAAAATACAATTTTGCCGGCATAATATTTGAGCATGTGTGTACGATATGTCTCGGTGGGTGTGCCTTGATGACTTTGTTTACATGTGTTCCCGCGTCTGTATTGCTACTGCTGCGGCGCTATGTTCAGGAATGCTTCCAGTTTGTGCTGCCAGCCCTGAGCCATGCGGTGGACCTCCTTCGCGATGCCAGCGTGCGGGTCAAGGCTGTGCACCAGGAGCTGGCAGGGCAGGTTCACAGCATCACCAGCCAGTCGGGACTACCTGACAAGGCCGTGCAGTGTGAAGGTCACGGAGAAGGCCAGCATTCAAGCCTACCACCTCGAGAAGTAAAATGCTTACCCCACCTTCACATGTATCCAGTTACCAAAGATACTTTGTCTCAAAGGGCTCTCACCAAATTCTTAATAATCGTTGATTAAATGGCTGCTTAATTGATATGGCCTTCATTGCAGTTAGCTGGATAACACTGTGTCATTATGCAAATAGAAGCATAATGCTTCTATTTGCAACAAATGTACACGGTTTCAGTGACTGTCACTAAATTGGGCAGTACTTCTATGGCTGTATTAAAATTATCAGCCCAGCAAGGGTGTACTAGTACTGTTACATGCTTATCATATTTAATATTCCGAAGTATTATATGTGAGCTGATCAGTAATTGTTATCAGCGGATTATGTTTTGAGTTCCTTTTTGAACTATGACAACATTTTGCCAAGGAGAAAGAGGCTGTCTCTAAAAAGATTCTACTCTCACAGCTGTATAGCATTCTAGATTTGAAGCTTTCGTGACTGCAAGGATTCATACATACTCTTTGTTTTTTTCGGTAAAGTCTCGTAGGTAAAATAAAATAAAACAATAAAATCACGACGTTTCGGAGGCAACACAAGCTTCCGTCTTCAGGTAAAGTCACGTCACCTACGTGACTTTACCGAAAAAAAAAAACCAAAGAGTATGTATAGCCTGTGTTCAAGTCTGAGACTCCCAACCTTAGCAAGCAGTGGGGCAACACTCATCCCCATTGGCAACGAAGAGCCAATGCTGTAAATTACAGATTTTCCACGAGAGGGACCAGTCTGTTCGTAAGGTGACCAGTGCAGTTACATTTCTTGAAATAGTAATATAAGTTATACAAATGCACTGAAATACTTTCATGATTAAACATAGAAATGCTATATTTTCATCACCAATTCCTCACAAGTTATTGAAATCAAGACATGTGCTACAGGAACTCCCATGGGCAGCAGAGCATCACACATCACATTTGAGAATGACCCTGGACGATGACTCCCATACATCCACTTATATGTAATGGAGCTCTATCCATGGCAATTATTGTAGGGTTTTAAGATTATTTATTCTGTTTTTGAGATAGCCATCCAGGATTGGGCATTGACACTTTTATCCAGGCAACCGGAGAGATATATCTTGACTTATCACTATAAAAACAAAAAATTAGATTTATTTAAGAATGCACAAATAAAAATAATAATAAGGGCATTCGAAGGATAAGTGAAGATGTGGATAGAGAGAAACGGGTTAGTTGCAGCCCTGTAAAACACTGCACGGCTTGGCGCCTGAGTGGCATTCAAAACGTGGAGTGGGGATACCAAAGTTTGGCCACAGGAATGTCGTTTTGCCTGCTTCAGTCTTGTACCTAAAGGTTTTGGTGAAAATACCATGCATGTGCTGTACTATACATTGGTGTAGTGCATGTCCTCTACAGTCTATAAATTAGACCTACAATTGTCATTTTAAAATTCCATGTTTGGGCTTTGGGCTCTACCCGTGCAGACTCCATTCCATGTAATGCACTTTGCTTTGCACACTGCTTCCATGCATACATCATGACCCAGCACGGAGCTTGCTCAGGTGGAACCCGGAGCCAAAACAGCACATGCCATTTCGCTTCTGGCTCTATTTTGGCTGTGTGTGATCCACTCTGGGTACTGTGGCATGCTTTGCTTAATGTCCTCCTGTGCGCTGCACGAGTTATTTTTTTGGTAATTATCATAAACCATGGCCAGTACGGTTAATCCACAGCACCTGGATACACGAGGTTCCACTGTAGTCCCTTCCATCAATCTCATCTAAGCACCAACTACATGGCATGTCTCCCGAGTGATTCAACACATGGAATCTGTCAAAACCGTTTCATAGTTAAACACTCAAGAGCTGACTTAGGGCAAATTTAGTGAAAAAAAATGTTTTTTTCCCCCTATAAAGTCATTGAGGACCAGGCTGAGATAATTAATGAGCTTGCACTCTAGAGCCTGATTTTACTCTGGGAGGCTGCCCACATTCAAACTGTTTTCACTAACACCATCATTCCCCATTATTTTCACTAACGCTGGTCTTTTTTTATAGCTCGCTTTGTTTACGAGCCAAAGCTACTGGTAATTTGTGTACCCTTTTCTCTTTCCAATAACGAACAAATATAATTTGAGCTATTATGAGGTAGTTTTTTTTTCAAATACAAAGTGCTTTCCTGACCGTGACATGCAGGTTTGGGTTCAAAAATAAAGAAAAGTAATCTATGAAAATGCCCCTATATCTGGGGAACCCAAAATCAATTGTTTTTCTAAGCAGAAACATATACTAAAATAAATGTTTCAAATTTAAACTTTCTAGCCCTTCTACAACATATATAGATTTGACGTCACTCTCATGAGTCACTCGAGACCATCTCTATAAAATAAGTGTCCTTTGCATATATGTATAGTACAGAACGATATACATACCTGTACAAGACATTTGAAAATGTCTTTGCATGACTGTGATAATGTAATATTCGATTTTTGTTTGTAATATGGGGTGCTCAACAGTAAAATCTAATAATGTCATTTGTATTGCAGCCACGGATCCCTTCCTGCAGCAGAGTGCATGCCCCTCAAGGTAAGCCGCCTGGGAATTCCACCTGCAAAATAAACGAATGTCATGGAAGCTACATTTGGGAAGAATAATTGTGTATTCTGTAGATTACTTATTGCTAGCTTATTTGGCTATCGTCTTTTAATACAGTAAACCCATAATATTCGTCAGGATACGTTCCTGGAGAACAGTGCGAATATTAAATCCGCAAATATTAATACTTAAAGCTTATGACAAAAATAGGGTTAGGTGGCATAAGCATATATTACACTAGCGGGAAGTACCCGGCATTGCCCGGGTCTTAAAAATAATTCAAAACTGCTCTTAAAAATGTAACAGCAGTGCGTACTGACTTTGGTGGTACCTGCTATGATTACAGCAGTGCATACTGTGGTGGTACCTGCTATGATTACAGCAGTGCATACTGTGGTGGTACCTGCTATGATTACAGCAGTGCATACTGTGGTGGTACCTGCTATGATTACATCAGTGCATACCGACTGTGGTGGTACCTGCTATCACTACAGTAGTACATGCTGACTCTATAGCAGTATTTATCGACTCTATAGCACAAAGTACTCACCTGACAGAGTGGTGTGGTGAGGCCTAGTCCCGTGCAGAGCTTCCGGCCTCGCCTAAATTGTCCAGCCGGCCGAGGTGGCACCTTGGCAGGCTGGGGCTGGGCTGCTACCCCTGACTACCCCCCCCACCCCCCCCAGGCACGATGTCCCGGCCGCTCTGCAGTAATATCTACGGCCTATAGTGGTAGCATCTACCGACTGTATAGTAGTAATAACTGCACGCATCGGGGTGAGACAGTGAAGAATTGACCTGAGCGTTTAGTGTATTTTTATAGGATTTTTAACGCGAAAGAAAATGTCCCCCTCACTCCCACCGAAGCCGTGCGACTTGGCATGGGCCGTCCTCCCCACCAAAGGCGCGTGAGTTGGTATGGTCGTGCATGTGCAATAAATAAATAAGTAAAATGGAAGCGCACAAAAATAGCACTAAATCGCTAATTAAACTAATTTAAAGCTGACGGATGTGAAAACGGAATAGCGCTTGCTCACCACGGGTCTTACGGCGTGGTGCCTGGCTATTTTTTTTTACGTAAACCCCACCGTTGGAGAGCCAAGCGTGCGACCACACACAAACCCACACACAAACCCCGCCACAAACAAACCCCGCCACAAACCCACACACAACTTTTGACTTTTATATATGTAGTGCCGTGAATTCACTCGGACGACAACCGTCTTCTTCCACCGTCACTTCTATTCCATCGTTCCGTACACACAGTAATTCTCCTCTTCGCGCTCCGCCAACTCCGACACTCCGATTCACCTCAGCACCGTCCGCGCATCCTCTTCCACACACAGTGGTTCTTCCTCTATCTCCTCACACACAATGTCTCCGCTATCTCTTCACACACAGTGACTTCCTCTATCTCCGCACACAGTGATCTGTCTGTCTATTCACACACAGTGACTCTTTCTATCTCCGCACACACAGTGACTTGCCTGTCTATTCACACACAGTGACTCTATCTATCTCCGCACACACAGTGACTCTATCTATAACTCTCCCTGTACCTATCTCCTCCGTAACTACCTCTCGGCTAACGCTAACTCTCCCTATCGCTATTTACTGTCCTTTGGGTTCGGCTCTCAATCTATTCTTCCCTAACATTGCCAGCTGTCCTCTTCGTATCTCTCCACCTCTCGCCAACAACTGCCCAACAACAACTCCAACTCCCCGTTCAAATCACCTAGCGTTTTATCCCCTTTCCAATTAGCATTAATTAATTGCCACGTGGCTCGCTGGCATTTTCCCGCCAGCTCGCACCTGTCCAACGGTCAGACTTCGAGACGCCGCCACTTAACGCTAACAGCCTCTCGACCAATCACAGCCCTCGTGCCACGACTCCTTTAATTACTTCGGGTTGTTTACGCCACCCGTGACTCGACCACCTGTTCGACCTCATGTGACCCACTCTCCTTGTATGTCTGTATGTACTGTATGTGGCCAATTCCTATGCGTATCGTTTACTCCACTACATCTATATAGATTATAAAAACATAAACTGTTTGTCTATTTGAATGAATACATGTGTAGTGGGTGTTGATAGCATTATACGCGGTCACCGCTACTTACCTGGTGTGGCGCCAGCCATGGGTCAACAGGGGGCGAGTACGATCTGTATTTAGTAACGCCATTAAGCCAGGGAACCCAGAGGGCGGTTGGGAACCGGAGGTATACACCCCAGGCCCCCAGTGGGGGCTGGGGAACTACGCAATAGTCCAGGTCCCTCCAGAAGGTTCCAGAGAGTTGGCGTGGCCAGGGGTGGAGTGACCCTGTGAGCTGTATATAAGGCGGACCCCTGAACGGGTTTGCCAGTCTTCGTCAAGCTGAAGACCCGAAGAGCCAGCCTAGCATAGGACCCTGGGAAAACCCCCAGACCCGCCGTCCTTCTAAGAGCCGGGACCGAGCGGGTCAGTGGCCGGAACCCGAGGACCTTGGCTGGGTCGGGTCAGCTAGCCCTCCCCTAGGTCCCCCTAACCAGTGGGCTGATATAGAGAAGAAGTGGTCCCAGTGAGTAGGACTCGCTAGCCCGGAGGCTGTACCTCCCCAGGGTATCGGGTGGAGGGGCCCATACCCCATTGTGCTAGGGACCTCGTGTTATAGTTATTGTTATAAATAAACGTGTTGCCTCCAGTGAAGACTGGGTCTCCATTCATTACCACTACACATTGTACCATACAGTATCATTGCGTTATTTAACTTACCTTTGAGAATGGTGAAAATTAACACGTTTAAAATTGCAACGATCAATGAATAAACAAACGGATATTATAGGGTACGTAATTTCACAGATTTAAGGGAAGCCCTCGCATGTAAACAGCACGGCCGCCAAGGCAAACGGAGGAGTGGCGTCGCATGGGGTGGGGGGGGGGAACTATCACGCGCTCACAATCCACGCCGCTGCCACGCATCTCTGCTTGTTGTCGGATAGTAGCGTGCCACAGCCAATAATATTTTAAAATAGAACCCCACGATTTTCAGAAAGTACTACAACCAATTTGTTGCGAAAATACAAAACTTCCATTATGATACCCGCAAATATTAAAGGTTCACTGTACTGATTTGATATACACGAATGTTATCATATTAGCATACTCTCATGATCATACTACCCTACTATATTAGAACAAAGGATGGAGATGAGGGGCAGGAGAGGGGCTGGCAGAAAGTGAAAGGGTGTGAAACAGGAAGGAAAGAGAGAAAAATGGAAAGAGGACCACGAGGGAATGCGACAAGCAGTGAGAGAGGAGGAGACTGAGAGGAAAGAGTTTGAGGTGGTTACAGAAGAGGTGGGAGTAAGGAGGAGAGTGAGGTGTAGTGGTGAGAGAGTAACGGAGAGAGGTGGGCGGGAAGTGGGTGAGATACGGTGGAGGGAGGAAAGGGGGGGGACAGGAATTGAGATAGAGACAAAGCTAGAAACCTAAATAAATTATGAAATATATTATAGAGAAGGCAACAGAAAGGTGGGGAGAGACGGGGTTTTATATAAGAATACACATTTTCCTGGCTGGCAAGGAGGGATAAACAGTCACATCCAAAAGACGTGCGGGTTGCTAGTTTTGTTAAAAAATTATAAACAAAAACTAAACAGTTTTTAACATGCAGAAGTGATTACAATGACATGTATCAGGGTTGACCAAATCATGGCTCTTGTGCATTACTAGTGTGGTTTGACGCAGACACGGCCCGTGTTTAACCTTTCTATATAGCTTGATTTTAAACAGAACAAAAACATCTGCAGAAGCAGGGAGTGACCCAGGATCTCACCCCTGGCAGCAGTCAGACGTTGATATACCCTTGGTGCTCCCTTAGATTTCTGAATTTAAGAATCCACAGCCAACGAACATGAGCGAATTGGTTGCGTGACCACTGTCTCATGTTTCTCGGACTCCTGGAGATGTTGTATGTAGCTCATAGGGTCAGGAAGTTTGGGTACTGTACTTTCTTTCTTTGAGTTTTTAATCAAATTTAAATTGTGGATTTTTTTTAAAGAGTAAAACAAGACCTTTCATGCTTTAAAATATAAGTGGCTTGAATTTTTGTATAATATCAATGTTTTTAGACATTGGTTCTCAAGTCAAAGCTTGCATTGATGGCATTTTAATGTAAGGTATGATCATTTTTCACGAGCATCGATCGATTTTACATTGCATGTTAGATGTTTTTGTATCTCTTCGGATTTGTTTTATTAGGTCATATCGTCTCTTTTTCTTCTGTTTGATATTTAAATCCGTTTTTCATGGAAGGACATTTAACTTGGCACTCTAATGCTATGTACTTCACTGCCGTTGATTTGTAAATATGCCGAATATACACAACTAGCATCTTTGCCCATCCTAGGACGGAAGCTGTAATATGTACGAGTCTAATTTTATCTTGTGTAAATTTAATGGCAGTGAATCTTGCACAAAAGTATGTCATCAAACACTTAACTACATTTCACTGTAGCACTGCAATAATGGCAGTGAATCTGGCACAAAACGAAGTCATAAAACACTGCACTGCAGTTCACTGTAGCACTGTATTAATGGCAGCGATTCTTGCACAAAACTATGTCATAAAACACCTAACTTCATGTCACTAGCACTGTATATAACTGACCTTCAATGTGTTCAAATGCACTGCTCTGATACTTTATTCTCTTCTGCTTTCGGTCACTGTGTTTGAAATAAATAGGAAATCGATACAATATCTGCAAAATCACCGAGAAATGTCTCCATAAATAAGGTGCAATTTGCGCCTAAACAGATTAAATTACTTTAGGTGCAGTGCTCTGAGACTACTTATGCTGTGCTGTAGCTCGCCGGAGTAGCAAACAATTTGAATAGGAGGCAATGGTGGCAAGATATCAGAGAAATGTTTATTTTAGCATAATTTGCAAGCCTAAAGTTGACCTTGCTTTAGTTTGACGTGGCGAAGAAATATATGAAGGCAGAAAATGC